AATGAAGGCAAAAACATTCCACCAGAGTTAGAACAAACCCTACTATTGGAAGTCAAGTCTGGGATGTGATTTACTACATCAGAATGAAAACTGAAAAAAACTATTAGGGATAATTTTTTGGGGCTCATACTTCCATGAAGGTGTATGAGCATAGTTTGCAAATCACACTGTCAACCTCTGAACTCAAATGATCCAAGCACCTTTTGGTCACTGTCTCTCAGATATCCTGAAGCTCCAATGAGAAGACAAATTTTTGCCTTGAAGCTCTCTTGGTAGAGACCATCACAAAATTTCTGGACAGGAGTTGATTTGTAGGTACAATGACGGTAAAATTTATAGGAGAGAGGATAAAGTGAGCAAGTGAGACAGGAAGTAGGAAAAAAGATTTTAAAAAGAGAGTAAAAGGAAATAGGGAAATATCCCACTTAAGAGGGATCTTCAAACCTATAAAATGCAACACATAAAGTCAACTAAAACATTCACAGTAAGAAAAAAAAAAATCAGTCCAGAAAAAATAGAAATAACCAAACAAAATGAGAAACAATTCAAATATTTATATCTCTCAACTTCAAAAACAAAAGATTAAAATTTTTAAATATATATTATAATAACTGAGTAAAAGGAAACAACCAACTAAAAAATGGAGAATCATGTAAATTATTATAGTCATGTGATTATTATAGTAGAACTTTATAATTGTTGAATACAAATCAAATAAAAAAGTGAGAATCCTAAGAAATAACTACAGAAAATTTCCAAACAATACTGAATAATTCACTAAAGATATAGTATAAAAGAGCAAAACAATGAGAGGTTGTTGAATAATATTTACATAATTGGAGCATAAATTAAGAATAAATAGTATTTATAGAATTTTTTAAAAAAGAAACTGGAAAATAGGATGAAGGAGCTATATTAAAAATACTATGAATGAGAACTTTCTAATTACAAAAATAATTATAAGTATTTACATCAATAGTTTATTTGATGTATAGTAATAGTATAATAGCAATAGTATGTAATAGTTACCAGCCTATTATATATAATATAATATGTAATTACAACCTATAATATAAAATTATATCACACAAATAAATTAAAGTTTCAATTGATCAAAGATAAAGAGAAAATAAAAGGACAAATAAACAAGAAAATTCAGACACCAAAAAAGGAAAGACAACCTGACTGGATATAAAGTTCTTAAAGACAACAAAAATAGCAGGAATTAAATACTGTTTTTACTATTCTGGAGAAAAATAATTGCCAATTTCAAAACTGATTCTCGGCTAAATTATCACTTATGAAAGAGAAGAGAATACATAGTCAGAAATAAAAATAAGAAGAACAATTTTACCTCCCACATATTGAGACTGAAGGGACTCACTTAATTTTAACCATTTACTTCATATAAAATACAGTATACATACATAGCACTTCTATGTTGTCTGTCAGTGGGGAAAACGATGGACTAATAATTAAATGACTGTAGAACAATTAGCTTCTCATTTAGAGAGAGGTACACATACACATACTCACACAGATACACACAGAGACAAACCTGAGAGAGAATTAGATCCATATTTCATCGAACAATTCTGCTTTATTAATAAATTAATGTCATGTGTTAATACCCATATCTTACCTTGGGCTCCTTTGTCTTGGACAAGGGTTTAGGAGCCTTTAGTTAATCTGGACGTTGATCCCAGGAAGCACAGTAATGAAGTGGAATACTACTACAGGAAAGACAAAAACTCCTATAAAATTGCTGTGCTGGTTACCATTGTGGGCAACAATATATTGTAGTAGAGTCTCTGAAGGACTAAACACACCTTAGAATTGCCCCCTAAAGGATGAGAAACTTACATTGCTTAAAAAATTGAAAATAGCCTATAAATGAAATATGAGGATAATGGTAAATAAACTTGCTGTATATATATGATGCAGTGATAAACACCAGGAAAATATAAATATGAATATATCTCAAACCAAAAATATTGTGTGGAAAATGATGCTTCAGAAATGTACATTCATTATGATTTCCTTTATACAATTTTCTCAAAAAAAAAAAAAAAAAAAACAACCCACCAAGCTATATGTTTGTGAATGCATCTCTCACTTTTTCAAAAAAATGAAGGCTGCATGTCAGTCACTTACATCAAGTTTAGGATAGTGGTTACACCTAGAAAAGAAGAGAGGGTGATGGGTACAGAAATGATCTTAGTTTGCATGTAATTTTTAAGTTTTATGTTGGCTGGAAGATGTACAAGTTTTTATATATTATTCTATGTTTTCTCTGATTTTAAAATATTTGGCAGTGATATAATAAAATATCAGTGATATCAGAAGGTTGTATATGATTAAATGTAGTATAAAAGTAAGATGTACTGACTGTTCTGATTACATTAAATGAGTAAAACATCATACGTGTAACATAGAGGTAAAGCAAATAATTATTGGGTGAATCTCTGAAACACCATTTTAGATATCAATACATTTGTCTATGTGAGAAGGGAAAAAGATGGTGCATTCATGATATTCTGAATATAAAGCAGAGACAAAACCACACTGGTGTGATTTTAAAATTATAATGATACCAACTTCTGTTTAGTGACTTTATATTGTATTTATGCATGTTTTTACATGCATTTGTTACATGGAAGTATAATACCCATAGTAACTGTAAGAGGTAGAAAGTAGTAACAGTCCCTTTACTGAATTGCTTAGGTAGGTTAAGCACACTTAGATCAGTTAAGTAGCCTCCCCAAGACATAGAGTGAGGAACTCGTAGAGTTGGTATGGAATACAAATACTCTGACTCCACTATACTTAAATTTAACCACTTTACTGTAATATCTTTGATACAGGCATTCCAGAAAAAAAGTATGAAGTTTCTTCAAAAAAATATGGGGCACATGGGTAACTCAGACGGTTGAGCTTCTGACTCCAGCTCAAGTCATGATCTCACAGCTCATGAGTTCAAACCCTGAGTAGGGCTCTGTGCTGACAGCTGAGAGCCTGAAGCCTGCTTTAGATTCTGTGTCTCCCTCTCTCTCTACCCCTCCCCAACTCGGGCTCTGTCCCACTGTCTCTCAAAAATAAATAAACATGAAAAAAATTAAAAATAAATAAAAATATAGAACTACTCTGATCCTGCAACTCCACTTCTTGGTAAATATCTGAAGGAAATGAAATCAGTAACTTGAAGAAATAAGTACACCCCTGTGTTCACTGGGTCACTAGTCATGGTAGCCCAGATAAGGAAACAACCTAAATATATGTCGACAAATGAGTGGATAAAGAAAATGTGGTATATATAAACAATGGAATATTATTTAGTCTTGAAAAGAAGGAAATCTTTTCTAGAGGACATTATGCTAAGTGAAATAAGTCAGACACAGAAAAGACAAATACTATAAGATCTCATTTTTATATGGAATCTAAAAAAAGTCAAACTCATAGAACCAGAGAGTAGATCAGTGGCTAGGGAGTGGGGGGGAAGAGGGAGATAATGATAAAGGGTAAAATCTTTCAATTAGAAGATGACTAGGCGGTGGGATCTAATGTACAGCATGATGATTACAGTTAATAACATGGTATTGTATTCTTAAAATGTGTTAGAGTAAATATTAAGTATTCTCACCACAAAAAAAAGGTTAGTATGTGAGGTGATGGATGTATGAATTAACTTGATTGTGTAATCATTTCATAACAAATATATATTTATATATTAAATCATAACATGTACACCTTTAAAAATCACATTATGCAAGCTAAATATAGACAGTTTTGGTCAAATTTCCATAAGACTGGGGAGATTCCCAGTTAACTTATAATCCTATATCCTCTAAACAACCTTAAAATGAAATGAGACAAAGTTATTTTAGGCAAAGAAAAGAAAACTCCTCACCAGAAAAATTGTATCAAGGTAATATTTAAGTTTATTCTTCAGACATGAGTAAAATCATTACAGACGAAATTCAAAGAAGCAAGAAGGAATGAATAACAATAGAAGTGGTAAATATTTGGAAATATTTACATGAATATTGACTTTCCAAAACAATAACCCTATGTTTGTAAATTTCAAAATGTATAAGAAGTTAAACCAGCAATAATATATAACTCAGAAAGTAGAAAAAGAGACTAATTTTTATTAAGACCCTTTATGAATAGAAAGCAGTAAGACTGCTGGTTTAGATTAAGATTTGATAAGTTGCGTGGGCATGTGTAGGACAATGGCAAAAATAACTATGAAATTATGTATAAAATCAAAGCAAAGCAAATGAGACTTATGGTAATGATTAAAAAATTCTAAAGAAGAAAATCTTTGTGAAATATTTATATCTCAGGTTGAGGTAAAATACAATAAGTAAATCTGAGATTTAATTACTAGAAAAATAATAATTATGTTAAATGTGCATGAAATTAGTAGTGTATTTGAAATATGAAAGATGTAAGACTGAGTTAAATATAAATACTTTGATATTTCTAAGTGGAGACAACATTAAATATCAAGATCTTAAAAGGCTGAAAGAAAAAGGAAGGACGTTTGTAAGTTGAGTTTGCTTATAAGTTTAAACTCTGTAAATTTCATAAAGTCAGGTAAAGTGGAATAGTTACCATTATATCCCCAGCATCCTGCACTTATGAAAATATACACTCAGAAAACCATTATATTTGGAGAAGAAAGAAGCTCCATGAAACATCAGCTAATCTAGTGGCAATGGATGCATTCAAAACTTGTGATATATGAATATCAATCAGATATTGAAACGAATAGAGAAAATGACATGACCTGCTAAATGAAATTTTAAGGGACGAAGAGTTTGCAGCAATGGATATTGAGAAGTGGTCTGAAAAGCAGGTGGAAATGAAATGCATTTAAATACTTACTGAACAGAGCCAATATAGATATATATTTTAACATAATTTTTGTGAGAAGGAATTTCTCTAATTCAAGTTTCATGAAATTTCATATTGAACCACACATGCATTAGGTGTCATTATTTTTCCTTTCCTTGTTTCTTTAATATTATTTTCTTCACACGGTCATAAATCTGTTTGGTTCTGACTCCGTAGATGACAGGGTTGAGCATTGGTGGCACTACGACATAAAGATTGGCCAGGAGTATGTGGATATAGCGGGGGACGTTATGGCCAAAGCGATGTGTCATAAAGGAAAAGAGGGCTGGTGTATAGAAGGCAAGAATTACACAAACATGAGAACCACATGTGCTGAGGGACTTGAGTCGGGCTTCACGGGAAGGAAGACGGAAAACGGCACGGAGTATCTGAACATAAGAAAGGGCAATGGCTATGATGTCAAATACTAGATTACAAATTGCACATAAGCCATAAATAATATTGATCTTGATGCTGGCACAAGACAGACGAGCCAGACCCATGTGTTCACAGTAGGTATGGGGAATGACATGATTCCCACAGAAGGGCAGTCGCAAAATAAGAAACACAAATGGAATCACAAAAATAAATGCCCTCACTAACACACCAACACCAATCACAGAGACAATCTTGTTGGTGAGGACGGTGCTGTATCGAAGCGGATCGCAGATGGCCACATAGCGATCATAAGCCATTGCCAACAAGACTGCTGACTCCATAAGTGTGAAGCTGTGAATGAAAAACATCTGCATGAGGCAGGCTTCAAAGATGATCTCTCTGAGGTTGAACCAGAAGATCCCGAGCATCTTGGGGATGGTAGCTGTGGACAGACCCAAATCAATAGCAGCCAACATGGCCAGGAAGTAAAACATAGGCTGGTGTAGGCTGCTCTCAACCCAGATCACAAACAGGATAGTGAAGTTCCCCATGAGGGCAATCATGTACACAGTACAAAAAGGAAAGCCAATCCAGACATGCAATGTTTCCATCCCTGGAATCCCCAGCAACAAGAAGGAGACGAGGTGGAACTGGGTGTCATTGAGAAGGAACATTCTTTTTGGTAATGCCTAAGCCTTCAGAAATGTATGCTGACCCAGATAGTTCTCTGTATCACTAGAGACCTAAAGATAATGTAAGAACACTTAATTAGCTACTTTTTCTCATTATCACCATCATTGCCAACAGAATCCCCCTTCAATTTTGACCAGTTTAGGATTTTGCTAGCTTCTAAATATAGTGACGGAAATTAATTCCAGTTGATTGACAACACTCCGGGATTAACACACAGGATGAACAATAACTATACAAAAAACACACAGGTGCATCGATTTTATGCCAAAATATTAAAAATTACCTCAAATGGTTAAATTGGTTCATCTGTTAGTATTTAGTAATAATTTTTACAAAATAGGATTGGGAATAATAGTGAAAACAGTAATATCAGATACTAATTAGTGAGGTGCTGTCCATTATTTACAAGGCTTTATGTCAGAATCTGTGCAAAAATCATCTCCAATATTTAAATAAAAATGCCTTTCAAGAAGAACATTAATTTTACTTATTTTACATAAAACTTATCTAATGATCAAAGAGTTTAAGTGGCTTGCCGGAAGTTTAAAATGTTTTCAGTGGAAGGTCTAGAAAATTAAGTTAGGGAGGAAAATAGCAAATGGAAATAAAGGAAAAGATGTGCTTCACCTATTTTTATATACACTACAACCACACATGCGCACACAATACTCCACACACATACAAACACATACAAATTATCTTTTTTAAAACTCACGACATCTGTCTAAAATTTGTTATTTTTTGTTTTTAGCTAAGGCAATTGTGACTTTAGGAGTCGAAGACACATGTCAAAATGTCAATAAGAAAACTAGTGAGAGGGAAAAAAAACAGGAATATTGGATAATTAGGTGCTTGATAATTCAATCATTTTTTAAGTTCCCTAAATGTATTACACATCTTCATGTAGCTTGTTTATAGCATTTGACAGGGCAGTATTTCCAAAATGTTTATTCATTCATATGGGTAATTATTTTATAATAAAAAGTCTCTTTTCTGATTATTTGGAGATTCCATGGCAGCAATACTAATTGTGACCTCATCCTCAGCAAGAAAGCAGGACATGATGAAAACTCTGACATAAGGAGGAGGAAAAAAACAGAAAAAGTGTGATAAAGTATGGGATGAGCAGTTGAATATGGATGGTAAATGTGAAGAGCAAAGCCAGGAAACTGGCAGTTTCAACAGGAATAGAGGCTATTTCTGTAAAGTTACGTCGTAACAGTGAAATTGTGAATACTTTTAAAAGGTATGACAATGGACAAAAGGAGTAAAAGTAGAATTCAGTCAGAGGCAAGTGTTTCTGTGAAGCCCAAGGGTGGAAATTAGCAAAAAAAAAAAAAAAGGCAGTTTTTCTTTTTTCCAGTATACACATATAGAACAGTTTCTCAGTTAATGGGGAATTTACTTGGGACATTAGTTGTAGATATGATTGCGAAGGGTAAAAATAAGCTACATCTGGTTTTTCTAAGAGAATAGTACTATATTTTGTGACTGCAAATAAGATAAGGGAAATTATGTCTCCCTGGTCATACAATTATATTCCACAATGATGCAGTATGAGATAATATGAGATAAGAAGTCAGAAAATGGTGTGAATAAACCAACTAGAAGACAAATATAGAAAAAGAACACAAAAACCTGGAGTGGAAATAAGGAATACGGAGACAGGAATAAGATCTGATTTCTCACAATTAAATCTTTATGCTCCTGTGGACATTAAATAGTTTTTCTTAGGTGACTATTAAAGAAAAAAATTTTGGAAAACCCCAGGGGCAATGTGAATATATAAACATGGGAAAGAATAGCAAAGATAGTCATACTTGTTGACGAGGTCTTTAGTATTTACAAAAGTTTAAGTGGGGCAAAGTTACAGTGAGATGGATGTGTTAAAGGAAGGGTTACTAGTAACTTTGATTCTTATCTTCCAAGCCAAGAATACCTACAATCATGTGCTTAAGCCATCTTGAATTTTTACCCCTTCCCAGAGATATGTTATGCATCTGATGTTACTATAGGAATACCCTGATATCTTCTTGACTCCCTTGTGTTTGAATTGATAAAAACATCAGTGTTGTATCTAAGCTTCTCATGGACAAAAGTGCATTAACAATAATGGAAAGTTCCATCAAAATTTTTTGAAAAGCATCCTTCAAGACATATTTAAGATCCATATACAAGGTGCTGATGACTTACTTGATCCTTTCTGTGCTCCTATAGGATCTAATACAGATTTGTATTACAGCATTATTACAAGCGTCACTCATGCTTACATTTCTGTATCTAATTTAAAATGTAAACTACTTACCAAACGTGCAGAGTCTACTGTATCAAGGAAGTTAATATTTAAGTGATTAATAATTAATAAATTGTTAATGGTAATAAATATTAGGGGTTAATAATAAATAATTCCTGGGTCAGACTAATTTGCTCTCTAATCTTCTTGTTAATAGTTTCATGTTAATGTATGCATTACTCATTTGTTAAATAAATACTACAGAATGTGTTTTATGTGTCAGAAACTGTTCTGAGACATTTTAAAATTGAGATCTGTGCAATCATGCATAATAAAAAATGTTATATATAATCTGATGCAATGTTTATAAACAAAGATATGCAAGAGAAATAAATTTCTATAAATAAATGCATGGAACTATCCTATCAATAGTGAAAGAAACTCTACACCAACATTTTGATCTAATCATACAATCTATTCTTTTTTTTTTTGTTTGTTTCAACGTTTATTTATTTTTGGGACAGAGAGAGACAGAGCATGAACGGGGGAGGGGCAGAGAGAGAGGGAGACACAGAATCAGAAACAGGCTCCAGGCTCTGAGCCATCAGTCCAGAGCCTGACGCGGGGCTCGAACTCACAGACCACGAGATCGTGACCTGGCTGAAGTCGGACGCTTAACCGACTGCGCCACCCAGGCGCCCCTCATACAATCTATTCTTAAAGTTAATACAGAGTAGAATTTCTCAAAATTATTATTCTGATTCATATGTACATACCACTTCTCAGTATCAAGGTCAAATGCTTCCCTATAAATGCCAACACTGCCTCACATCCTGACATCTGTAACTAAAATATAAAACATTGTAACTGCATTATTGTAATCTGCAGAAAGATAATGCTATAATACTAAACATTTCTGATGTTTCTCCATCTCTCTGGGTTGCATCTTCTCATTTTCCTTTAAAGACATTTTTCTGACCATTCATTAACTATTGGTGATCCTTAACCATCAGCTGTAGTTACTGCTCTTTCTCATCCACTTTAATCTGTATAAACAATCCCATTCACATCCATTGCTTTGATAGCTATCTTTACAATGAAAAATCCTAAGTAAAAGTTGCTAACCCTCAGAATTTATCAAATTCAGGTTCTCAAAACCAAATTCTTCTTGGCAATTACTTTTGCTCTTCTTTTGCCAAAATATTACAAATAAAATATTCCTAAAATTGAATCCCCAAACCTGTCTCTGCCAGACTCCCACTTTAACTCAATCTTACTTTCACTCTTGTCTAATATCAGTAAATGTCATTACCATTTAACTATTTGACCAATTTAGAAATATGAGCATCATCCTCTTCCCTTCTCCACCTCTTAAAAAAAAAAAAACTCTATTGATTCTATTTCTAAAAATATCCTGAATATCAGTACAGTTGTCATCATCCTCACTGGAACAGTTCCAGCCATCATTTCTTGGGTTGATTATGGCACAGTGCTTTCTAGTGCTGAAGAGCATGAGCTCTGTAGTGAGACTAATTGTGTTGAAACCAGCTTCATGACTTATTCACTCTAGAGTTGAAGAAAAGTAAATAAAGTATTACTTATTAGCTGTGTGAGCCTTGCACAAGAGCTATAACATTGCTATACCTCAGTTTCTTCATCTAGGAAATAGAAATAAGTGTAAATAAACCTTTCAAAATTAAACCCTTAATTTTAGAATAGATTATTCTTTTAAAACACTCCGAACCATGTTCCAAAGATACTAGTTATCCATCATTTCATGGATATCAGGCAGAGTGATTTTTTCTAAAATGCACATTGAGTGTATTCAGGCTGAAATCCAAATGCTTTTACTAAAATTATATGGCCCTTTCTGACCATGATCCTATTCATTCTCTAAGCTTCAAGCCTTATTCTTCTTCTTTGAAACTTATCTCCTGTCTCTTCTTTTCCTATCCCTCTCTTTCCCTTCAGCCATCACTGTGACATAAGGAGGCTCTGTGAGCTGGGAGATGGGGAAGACTCACCGGAATGAGCACCAGGATAGAATCCTGTCTCTGTTTTATCTCAACCTGCTCAGTCTTTATGAGGGTGCTGCTCTTTGCCTGTGAGGAGCCTTCAATAGAAAATCCCCAGGGCATCTGGGTGGCTCAGACAGTTAAGCGTCTGACTTCGGCTCAGGTCATGATCTCATGGTTTGTGGGTTCAAGCCCAGCGTCTGACCCTGTGCTGACAGCTTGGAGCCTGGAGCCTGCTTCAGATTCTGTGTGTATCTCTCTCTCTGCTCCTCCTCCACTCATGCTCTGTCTCTCTTTCTCCAAAATAAATAAACATCAAAAAAAAAAAAATCCCCTAGTACCAGTTTTATAAAAAACACAAAGTCTCTGGGGAGTCTATTTTCTAATCTAGTCCTGAGTCATGAATGGAAAGACATGACTTCTAAGGAAATGAAGGCAGGAAAAACTAAGGTTTCTTGGTTACTTTGTGAGTCTCCATTAACCTTTTGGTAACTTGCTCTGTGTTAAAGCACACGATGTTTGATACAGATCATTCTCTCACCATCCCAGATCATCACTATGGGGGGCAGTATAATTTTGTGTTCAAGAACAGGGCTCTCAAGTCAGAACACTGCTGTTCTACTGGTAGCTCTTTACACTTAATTAAATAAGTGGCATTGGTCAGACAATTTAACCTCATAATTTTGTTTTCCATTTATTTTTCAGTTGTTCCCTCTGTTTTACTGCACCAACC